ACCCCAAAGCCCCTAAATCCTAAAACCCTAAACCCAAAGCCCCAGACCCTGGGCCCTAAACCCTAAACCCAAAGCCCCAAATCCCCAACCCCCCCTAAACCCTAAACCCTAAACCCCTAAACGCCTAAACTCTAAACCCTAAACCCTAAACCGTCGTGAGACAAGACGAGCGCTGGGGCTCACATCAGAGCGAGGCCCCGGCTACGACCGGCAACGGCTGAAAGGGTTTAGGGTTTAGGGTTTAGGGCTTAGGGTTTAGGGTTTAGGGTGTATAGGGTTTAGGGTTTAGGGTTTAGGGCTTAGGGTTTAGGGTTTAGGGCACATGCCCGCAACCCCAGAAGTGAAACTTAGAGCCAGAAGCCCTGCCGCAGCGCGAGCGACAAAGGAGCAAGGCGAAGACACACAAAGCGCGAAGGCAGGAGCACAGACTACGCATGTTCGAGAAGGAGGGACCTACTGCAGGGCCAACAGGTACTGCAGTAGGGATCCCCGAAGTGGGTGCTCCTCCTGGGTGAGCCGAAGCAGAGCCACTAAGCGAGCCAGAGCAGACCGTCAAGGAAAGTGACAGCAAAAGGCCACAACGAACACGGATCAGTGCCGGCGTTCTCCAAAAAGGACGCCTGAGCTGAGCCCAGTCGTCGACTTGCAAGACAAGAGGCTGAAGCAGCCGACAGGCCAGGGACCCAAAATAAGGAGCTGACAGGCCGTAGGCACAGGCAGCTGGAAAGTCACGTAGATCGCAAGACCGGAGTCGAGAAGTGTATTGCACCTGGAAATAGCCGAAAACCTGTAAGTAAGAATCGCTCCAGGGGAGCATCAGAGCAGCTGTAAGGTACCCGTGGCCGCCCTCGGGGTCCCGCGTGCAGGCCACAGCCACACCGGGTAGGAGCTGGTATAGCAGTATCTGTATCTGCAAGAACGGCGAGAGCCGAACAAGCCGAAAACTACGTCGAGCTGAGACACCTCATGATATCCTCATGATCAAGCCCTTTAACCCTGGACCTTGAGGTGAACGTCCGCGCCAGGTGCCCTCTGTCCAAAAACCAGCGCAGAAATACCCGAGTTAAGCCCTTCATCCTTTGCGTACTAAATCCTGAGGTCAACGTCCCCAAACCCTGAACTTAAACCCTAAACCCATAAACCCTCAACCCCTAAACCCTAAACCCTAAACCCTAAACCCTAAACCCTAAACTCTAAGCCTTAAGCCCGAGATCCGCAGGTGAAGGTCTACGGCGGGTGCGGGGAGCGTCATCCCTGTGGCCGCTCCGTGTTTCAGAACACGGATTGCCTCGCTGAGCACCTCGAACTTGTGGAGGACTTGGGGGCTTAGGGTTTAGGGTTTAGGGTTTAGGGTTTGGGGCTTAGGGTTTAGGGTTTATAGAGCTTCGCAAGGGCGTGACAGGCTTGCAGAATAATTTGCGATGTTTTTTTTTTTTTTTTTTTTT